AGGGGAACGGAGAGAAGAGGCCATCAGGTCTCTGGCTGCCTGGGTTCCCAGGCTCTGCACACATCCTCTCCCTGAGGAAGAAGCCCGACTCCATGAGCACGTCTTGTTGCCTCTGCCGTTAAATGGACATTGTATTATCTGAAAATGGTGCTTCCTAATATTACCGTTCCTAGTATTTATATTTATTTATTTCCTTTATCTGCTAATTGTCTCCATGTATTAGACTGAGGACAGGATCAAAGTAGACGCTCAATAAATAAGTCTTAAACCAGACATGGTGGCACATGCCTGTAATCCCAGGGTCTCCAGAAGCTGAATTAGGAGAACTGCAAGTCAAGGCTAGCTTCAGCAACTTAGTGAGGCCCTAAGCAACTTAGTGAGACCCAATCTCAAAATTAAAAATAAATAAATAAATAAAAAGGGCTCGGGATGTGGCTCAGTGGTTAAGTGCCCTGGGTTCAAGCCCCCATATTAAAAATAAATGTGTTAAGTGAATACAGGAATGATTGACAGGAGAGTCTACAAGACCCTGTAATGAGCTAATGCTGCCTACCTCTTCAGGTATCTCCTGCCCTCTCCCCTCGCTGACTCCATTCCAATCTTCCCTCCTCTTTGCTGTTTGCAGTTTGGACTTGCGCGGCTGTTCCTTCTACCTGGACATTCTTTTCCCAGAGCACTGCATGACAAACTTCTCACCACTCAGTTCTCTCCCAAAAGGTCACCTTCCGGAGAAGCTCTTCCCGACTGCCCCACCGAACCACCTCCCCTCTCCATCACTACTTTTCTATTTCATTCTGATCAGGTAGCTCTTAGAGCTGGCTGAAATTGATTTGCATATTTCTTTTCTTGTTTACATGGTTCTACATACACATTGTAAAGTTCATTCTAAAAAGGCAGGAACTACATCTGTCTATCTTGGGTTGATGCAAATTTTCTTTCTAGTAATGATGGGGGGAGGGGAAGCCCAGTACCAAAAGGAGCTGGATACAAGTTTGTTGAATGAATGAAGGAACACAGGTTTCCTGCCTTTGGGGCTCTAGGTCTGAGTAAACCCAGTTTTCTCCTTGCCGTGTGTGTGTGTGTGTGTGTGTGTGTGTCTTTCTGTCTGGGGCTTGAACCCAGGGCTCACTCGTGCAGGGCAAGCTCTCTACCACTGAAGTATGTGCCCAGCTCAGCCCTTTTATAAATTTGACTTTTTGGCAGTATTTCACTAAATTGCCCTGGGCTGGCCTCAAATTTGTAATCCTCCTGATTTCAGCCTCCAGAGTACCTGGGATTACCGGCAAATGCTGTTCCTAGCACCTTGGCCTCCATGCATCTCTTGCCAGTTAGTGATTAAATGAGCAAATGGCAAAGACTTTAAGAGTTGCTAAAGTGTCTAAACTCACTGGATATTTCTCTACCTAAGAGCCCAGGAAAAGGCTAAAGAGACTTGAGGAAGGAACTGCCTCAGCACCTGCCTTGTTCCCTGCAGGGCCTGAGGGGGAGGAGCAGCAGGAAATTCTTGGTGTTGGGGACAAACACCCAAAAGTATGTTCCCGCCAGGCTTGGTGGCATCTGCCTATAATCCCAGTGATTCAAGAGGCTGAAACAAGAGAATGGCAAATTGGTTGTCAGTGTGGGCAATTTAGTGAGACTCTGTCTCAAAATAAAAATAAAAATAAAAATTTCTGGGTTTATAGATTAATGGTAGAGCACTGTGGATTCAATCCCCAGTACAAAAATAAAATAAAATAAAGTAAATAAAAGTGTATTATTCTGGTCAATTGCTACAGGAAGACCAATAAAGATGATAAAGAGGATCTCTTCTCTCTAGCTTGCACTCTCTCTCTCTCTGTTTTTTTTTTTTTTTTTTTTTTTTGGTTCTAGAGATTGACATCAGGGGCACTTTACCACTGAGCTATACCCCCAGTCACTTTTTTTTTTAATTTCTGTATGAGGGTTTGAACCCAGGGGTGCTTAACTACATCCCCAGCCCTGTTTGTTTATTTATTTATTTTTGGTGCCAAAACCTGGGAACAAATTATTTTTTATTTTGAGACAGGGTCTCATTAAGTTGCTTAGGGCCTCTCTGAGTAGCTGAGGCTGGCCTTGAACTTGCAATGCTCCTGCCTCAGCCTCCTAAGCCACTGCAATTATAGGCATCCAACATTTTTTATTTTTTAATTTTAAGACAGGATCTCGCTAAATTGCTAAGACTGGCCTCACTTGCAATCCTGCTACTTCATCCTCCACAGTTGCTGGGATTACAGGGGTGTGCCATCACACCCAGCAAGAAGGGGATCTTTTGGGAGGACTTATGGTTTAGCCCCACCATCTAGGGAAGGTCTATGTGGAAAAAAATCTCTATGAACTTGGGAGGCCTGGTGGACCTCTGCTTTCTGAACATTAAGCCAAGACCTGCCACCTGGCACAGGATGTCTGTGCCACCAAGGAGAATGCTGGTTCAGATGGCAAGGGGCTGGGTGAGCTGAAACAAGGCAGGCACTTCTGGGGACAGCATAGCCCTAAATCCAGGAAGAGCAAGTATCTGAATGACAGGTGGTCTTGGTCCTGGCACTCAGAAAGGATCATAACCATCAGGAGAATGGGTGGAAGGAAAAATGGCCTGTGGCCTCCCCAGGGCACAGAACTTCAGTTTGCAAAGGCCTTTGGTTGTATTTGCCATCTTATCTGAGCCTCACATCCACCCCACTGGGAGGCAGGGGAAGGGTGTTTGGGGGCCCCATTTCAGGTAAGGGGACTAAAGCACAGAGGACAGAGGGACATATACAAGGTTAATCAGGGGTGAAGCCAGACTTTGAGTGAGTGAGCAGCTGCTCTGTGTGGTCACCTCAGCATTTACTTTAAAACATATCCCATCAGATCACAATCATTATAATCAAAAAGGTGATCAATGTGCATTAAGGAGATAAAAATTCTGTGATCTGGCCTGAGGGCGTGGCTCAGTGATAGAAGGATTGACTTCCTAGCAAGCATGTGATCCTGGGTCCCATCCCCAGCACCACCAAGAGAGAGAGAGAAAAAAAAAAAAAAATCATGAATTCTTGGGGCTGGGATTGTAGCTCAGTTGTAGAGAACTTGCCTAACGTGCATGAAGCCCTGGGTTCCATCCTCAGCACCACATAAAAATAAATAAATAAGAATAAAGATATTGTGTCCATCTACAACTTAAAAATATTTTTTAAAAATCATGAGTTCTCTGTACCAGCTTTGAAACTCTTCTATAATTTAGAAATTATGACCGGGCACATTGGCACACGACTGTAATCCCAGCGATTTGGGAGGCTGAAGCAGGAGGATTTCGAGTTCAAAGCCAGTCTCAGCAAATTATCAAGGCAGTGAGACCCCGTCTCAAAATAAAATACAAAGTAGTGCTGGTTCAATATTGCATTTGTCTTGAATTATACTATCATCTTTTAGGTTTTTATAGCCCCAACGGCAGGTTGACAGGTTTTTAATAATATCTATGAAGTGATTAGCACAGTAGATCATAGGTGCTTAATATAGGGCAGGAAGTTTATTTTGGGCAGGATGGTACCAGGGATTGAACTCAGCTGCACAAGACCAATGCGCCACTTCTCCGGTTCTATGTTGAGACACTGATTTGCTTAGCACCTAGTTTTTGCTGAGGCTGGCTTTGAACTCAGGATCCTCCTGCCTCAGTCTTCTGAGAGGCTGGGATTACAGGCTTTCACCACAGTGCCTGGCAGACAGGTAGTTTTAATGAGCACAAGACCACAAGACTTGTCTCAATTTCTTCATCATTAAAATGAAGATAATAATTTTACCTACTTCAAAGGGTTATAATGAGAATTATACGACCATATATATAAATGGTCGTATAATTCCCATTTTATATATATATAATTATATATATAAATAATTTCAGACAGTGCCTAGCTCACTGGAAAATACCATGAAAGTGCTGATTAAATAAAAAACTATATTGTTATCAATAGTGAACACATGCTGTTCCCCACTGGGACAGAGTTGAATGTTCTCTTTGCCTCCTCCGGGTGGAGATAGCTCTGTCTGTCCCTTGAGCTCCCTGCTACTAAGGTGAGCCCAGTTCACCTCTAGGTCTACAGGCAGTGTTGGGGACCCTGAACTGTTTTCTAGTTGAGGAAATTGAGGCTCAGCAAGTGGAGGCAGTTTGTCCTAGAGCCACCTCTGTTTGGTGGCAGAGCAGGGAGTGCCAGCTGGAGCCACCCCCCTCTGTCACGTGTGACCCCCCCCACCTTATGTACTATGCAAAGGAGCTTGCCCTCAGTCCTCTGGCCACTCTAATTGGAATAATAATAAAATTAGTAAGGCTGATTCCAGGGACTGTGGGGCCTGGGGCTTGTATGTGAAAGAGCCCATTGTGAAGTGCCAGGGTCTTAATTGTGGTGTCATTAGCAGCCACCTTCATTTGCAAAGTGGGTTTCTCACCTTTCCTTTTCAACAGGAACACCCAAACCTCTTGTTTTCTCCTTTTTTTTTTAAATCCCAAAATGGGTCATTGAACTATTTTATATAAATGTACCTCACTAGACTAGAGCACAGAAGAATATGGTCAGGTAGCATTCATCAGTGTCTTCTTTTCCTTTCTGTGTGTGTGTGTGTGTGTGTGTGTGTGTGTTTTGGGGGGGAAGTGCTGGGGATGGGACTCAGGTCCTGGCCCTTGGTAGGCAAGTTTCTAGCCCTGAGTTATACCCCCAGGCTCCTGCAGTAACATTGACATTGACTCATCCACACTGAGGTTCCTGAGAGCAAGGACACTTGTACCCCATACTGGGCATTCACTAAATGTTCCTTCCCTCCCTGGAAGCTCTCTGTCATCATCTCCTTACCCTGCCCTCAGGCAAACCAGCAAGTCACCTGGACTTGGCTTCCCTTAACTTTGGAAGTTCAGACTTGACCTCTGGAGGGAAAGTATGGCTGAGGAGAGGTTCCCAGCCTTGATTCTGTTCTCCTGCTACCTCTGCTACCCCGCTGAAGGAACATGGGCAAGTGTCTTGCCATCTTTGGGGAACTGCTGACTCTACTGTCAAAAAAAAAAAGAGGCAGATTGTGTAGCAGGGAATAAGCCCAAAATTCATAGTGCCATCCTTGACTCCTCTCCTGTTACCAGGATTCTGCTTCCTGGATTTGCTCCACGTTCAGGCTTCATCAGCTCTGCACTGATGGGTTGACTGGATACTGACTCCTCCTTTATTTTCCAGTGCTGGAGATCAAACCCTTGGTAGAGGAGCTACACCCCCGCCCCTCCTGCTCTGTTTGAGAATAAACACAGAGGGGATGTGTTCAAACCTCTTTTATAAAACTGTCCTTATTTTCTTTGGGTAATTCCTTTCCCTTCAAGCTTCATGAATTTCATAAACCCAGCATGATGCTGCAAACCAGGCTTGGGTGAGATGCCCAGGACCCTGGGTCTTCCCTGTGTGTGTCCTTGTCTAGAGCCTGGTGATAGTTGACACTCTGTCTGCTGAGCTGCTGTTCATCTTTCAGGCTCAAGTCTGCCTCCTTCCTCCACTTCTCCCCTGAATGTCTTCAACTGAGGCTTCAAGTAAGGTGTTTCTCCCTCAGAAGACCAGACCGTGGGCAGCAGAAGGGAGGAGCAACAGTCTGTCGTGTTCACTGCCCTGTAGCCAGCACCTAGCACAGGGCCTGGCATACAGGAAGTGCTTATTGAAGGTCTAGGGCCTGAATGAAGGAACAGACCCCTCCATCTTTCAAATGATGCAAAAAGAAGAGAAAGTTCTCCAAGTAACAGCTCCCAGGTTACACCCAGTTGTGTTCACAAGCACCCAGCAGAGGTATGCATAGCAGGCCTTGACGGGGGGCTTGGCCAGGCATTCACTTTATAATTGTTCTATAGAGAAAAACAAAGCCAACAATAGAGATCCCAGGCCTCATTTTCTCAGGCAAAGGGATCTCTACCATGAATTTGTAATGAAGGGTGAGATTTCCGAAAAGTGGAGCATTATTATCCCTGCCCTCCACCTTTTTAAAGGGCCCTTTAAAAAACAGATTTCTAGAGGTGACAGTTTTAATGTCCTTTTCCCCAGGAATACCACTTTGAAAATGTATCTCAACAACAACAATCTTGAGATTGAGACAGGGATCTTTGAACCAGCAAACAATTTCATCACCAAATTCTATACAGAAATCAGAGAATTCCAACTTCCCTTGAAGTCCAACAATAGAGGATTATTTTCATTAATTTACCTGTTTAAGGATTAAAAACTAGAAGTGGAATTGACTCCCCCACCCCCACTCCGGCTTCCAGCAAATTCAGAGCCAATTTCTACACTAAGCCACTCAGTAGGACTGCGGCCAGGGCCCTACTTTTGGTCAGTGTCCATCCTACCTGGGCCTGGTTGACTTTATTGATAGAATAAATTTTTTCCAGGTGCTAAAAATTGGACTCAAGGCCTCACGCGCATGCTCAGCGAGCGAAGGCTCTACCACTTAGCCACACCCCTGTCCCTATCTTTTTTAGTTTCTTTGAATCTGGAACAATCGCAGCATTTCCTTATCAATGACTTTTGTGACATAGATGTCAAAAGTCCAAACCAATTGTGTTTTTAATTTGTTATGTGATTTTCTAATTAGGGGACTAAAGATCATAATGAGAACCGAAACGTAAAAATATCCAATGGAATTTTTTGTTCTAGATGTTGATAGAAAGAAGCCCTGGAGCTGGTCAGTGAAATTATCGCCCTAGGCGAGGTGAGATCCTGGCTTCCTGGGAATGTTCGGAATCTTGGACGTCAATATCCTGGTCCCGCCACCTTTGGATCTGAGCATCCAGAGAAACTGGGTCAGAATACTATAGCGCCTAGAGTATTTCTTACAACTATGAATCTACAATTGTCTCAAAATTAAAAGTTGAATTTTTAAAACATGCCCTTTGGCATTTGGATTGTGCAGGGCAGACCTTTCACCTAGGAAAACCTGGCCCTTTGGTGAAATTCCCAGCGGGAGTCCTCGGGGCCTGAAATCTGCTTCTTAATGAACTCCTTTCACTTGCGGGGCGGGGGAGGGGTGGGGAGGTGGGGACTCGGTTGCCCTCCACAGGGACATTTTAAATTGAATGGAGGGAGCAGGGTCCCTCATTAAGTCTCAAATGGGGGCGGGAGGAGGCTCTCTGGAAGGGAGGCCTGGCCCAGGCCTGCATTTCCTGTTGCAGACTTAAGGCATTAACAGTAATCACCTCTTCTTCCTTCCTCTGGCAGTGCATTCTGAAGAACATCAGAACTAGTTTCTTATCTACAGGGGTCCCCCTGTATTCCAGGAGGCCAGGGTTCCAGACCCTCCAGGGGACGCCTGAAGCTGCAGCTCCTACCCAATCTGACATAGACTAGGTTTTTCCTGCACATACACACCTAGCGAAAGTTAATTCATTAATTAGGCACAGTAAGAGATCAACAGCAGTAAAATGATGAGAACAATACTAAGTTATATGAATGTGATCTATCTACCCCTCTCTCTCTCTCTTCCTCTCCCTCTCTGTCTCTCTGTACTCCCTAGAGTCTAAATGTCCTGCCTGTTTTATGCCCTGGTACCTTCATTACATTGTTGTGAAAGTTAAGTTCTACAGGGAATCTTCTAGAAGTGCTTGGTGTCAAGACCTTTGAACCCTTGCTCTTTTTTTTTATTTTTATTTTTTAGTTGTAGATGGATGCAGCAGTACCTTTTATTTTATTTGTTTATTTTTATGTGATGCCAGGGATCAAACCCAGTGTCTCATGCATACTAGGCAAGTGCTCTACCACTGAGCCAAAACCCCGGCCCCTGAACCCTTGCTCTTTTAAATTTTTTTTTTTTTTTTTTTTGTACTGGGGATTGAACCCAAGGGCACTTTGCCACTGAGCCACAGCCCCAGTCCTTTTTGTTTTGAGACAGGTTCTTGCTAAGTCACTTAGGGCCTCCCTAATTTGATGAGGCTCGCCTCCAAGTTGAGTTTCTCCTACCTTAGCCTCCAGAGTGGCCAGGATTACAGGCATGCACCTGGCCAGGATTACACTGCACCTGCCTGGCTGCCAGGCTTTTTTTTTTTTTTTTTTTTTGGTGCTGAGGATGGAACCCAGGGCCTTGTGCATGCAAGGCAAGTATTCTACCAACTGAGCTATATCCCCAGCCCTGCCATGCTCTTTTTATAAGACTGAAAACTTAGAATAAGGAGCATATATTGAGCATTTTCCAAGAATCATTTTGTTGTGCTAAGTGCTCCTTAAGCCTTGATTTTATCTTTTCAAGTAGATTCCATTATTGTTTCATTCTATAAGGGAAAAAAGAAATAGAGACCCAGAAAGATTAGCAATTTGTCCAAAGCAATATCATTAGTGTGTCAGGGGGACAGATGTATAAAGGACAGCAGTAACACAATGTGATAGACTTCAAAATACAAACAATGGTTCATTCTGGGTTTTGATACCAAAAAAAGAAAAGAAGAATATAAGCAATAATAGGTAGGCAATTCAAACATATTATGGTCATTATACATGACATGTATTTAGGTGCTTAAAGCACGAAGCATAGTAGGCACTTAAAATGTTTATTATTAAATATGATCATTATTATTAGAACCTTAAATTTTAATGGGCCCAAGATTGCCTGGGGATCTTATTAAAATGCAGATCCTGAGGGCTGATAGTCTACAGTCTAGTTTTAGTGGTAGAAAGATTGCTTAACATCTGTGAGGTCTGGAGTTGGAGACCAAACACAGGAAAAAAAAAAAAATTTAAGTGGATCCTAAATAGCAAGTCTGGCAGGCCTGAGATTCTGCATGTCTCCTAAATTGTTAGCTCCTAGGTGATATCCATGCTGGTCCAAAAATCAGAGTAGTGCTAGACTGGGGATATAGCTCAGTTGATAGAGTGCTTGCCTTACATGTACAAGGCTCTGGGTTCAATACCCAGCTCCACATTATATAAATAAATAGATAGATAGATAGATGGCATGGTGCAAGGGAAGAATCCCAAATGTGGAAAAACAAATCACAGAATCCCAGTGACTGCAATGGTAGAAAACAACTGGCAGAGAAGTAGAAGGGTGGTGGTGGTGGTGGTAGTGGGGAGGATAGGAATTCAATCCCCAGCTATAAAGAAAAAGAACAAGAAAAGGACTGGCAGGCAAGAGGGTACCTTGTAACCAGTGTTGGGTGAATACTTCCCTTTTCTTAATTTCCTTCAATTTGATTCCACACATTTATTGAGTATCTCAGCACCTGCCACTATGAGAACAGAAATTAGAGAAATCTAGTGGTTTCCTTAAGGATGTGTTTTTTGTTTTTGTTTTTGTTTTTGGTACTGGGTATTGAGTACAGGGGTCCCTAACCACTGAAAACATCCCCAGCCCTTTTTTTTTTTTTTTAAAGATATTTTTAGTCGGGCTGGGGATGTGGCTCAAGCAGTAGCGCGCTCCCCTGGTGTGCGTGCGGCCGGGGTTCGATCCTCAGCACCACATACAAACAAAGATGTTGTATCCACCGAGAACTAAAATATAAATATTAAAATTCTCTCTCTCTCTCTCTCTCCCTTTCTCTCTCTCTCTCTCTCTTTCTTAAAAAAAAAAAAGATATTTTTAGTTATACATGGACACACAATATCTTTATTTTGTTTATTTATTTTTATGTGGTGCTGAGGATCAAACCCAGTGCCTCACACTTAGGAGGCAAGTGCTCTGCCACTGAGCTACAGCCCCAGCTCCTTTAAAAATTTTTTTTTTAAAAATTGAACCCTGGGGGCTGGGGATGTGGCTCAAGCCTGGCATGCATGCGGCCCGGGTTCCATCCTCAGCACCACATACAAACAAAGATGTTGTATCCACCGAGAACTAAAAAATAAATAAATATTTTAAAAAAAAATTCTCTCTCTCTCTCTGTCTCTCTCTCTTTAAAAAAAAAAAATTGAACCCAGGAGTGCTTAACCATTGAGCTACATCCCCACCCCTTTTTAACATTTTTAGAGACAGGCTTTTGCTGAGTTGCTTAGGGCTTAAGTTTTTGAGGCTGCTTTGAACTTGCAATTCTCCTGCTTCAGCCTCCCAAGATGCTGGGATTACATGCATGCACCATCAGGCCCAGCCTATTTTTTATTTGAGACAGGTTCTCACCAAGTTGCTTAGGGCCTCCCTAAATTGCCAAGACTGGCCTTGAACTTGTGATCTTCTTGTCTCAACCTCCAGAGTAGCTGGGATAACAGGTTTGCACCACCCTGTGTACATTCTGAAAGCACCCTGCTTCTTGGCATCTGTTAATAATTTCCAATGTGCCAGGTGTGGTGGCACACACCTGTAATCCCAGGGACCCCTGAGCCTGAGGCAGGAGGATCACAAGTTTGAGGACAGTCTTGGTAACTTACAGAGATCCTGTCTCAAAATAAATATAGCTAGAAATGTAGCTCATGGGTTCAATTCCCAGTATCAAAAAGTAAAATTTTTGGTCACTTGTGCATGGGATTCATTTGTGCTTGTCTGTCTCCCCGAATGAACTGTGACTCCTCAGAGGCCAGGAACTGCATCTAATTTTGTCACTATGGGCTTAATATAGGCTCAATCAACCCCTATCATGGAATCTGGCTCAGGACAGGTGTCAATATTTGTTGAATGAATGATACATGAATTGAAATGAAGACTGAACACAGATTTGACCTCAGGGCAGAAACCTTCTGTTCCTACCCTTCCAGAAGGGACTTTCAGGCAAGAAGAGAGGAGGTCTGTTGGAGAAAGCCAGTCACTCCTTCTGCCCCATCACCCCTGCAGGATTCTAGTGCTGCCTCCAAGCCCTCAAGATGGACTCAAGGCTAGATGAAGCTCTTGGGTTTGGGGGTCAGGTCCCAAAATTCAGGTAGCAAACTTTTGTTTTCTCATATGTAAGAGGTCAATCAGGTCAATACTCAGTCGAGGGCAAGGAGGGATCCCTAAGAAGAGAGAACATAGGCTTTGAAGAGTTTGAGAGCCAGGCCTGGTGGCCTCTGCCTGTGATCCCAGAGGCTGAGGCAACAGGATCAAGAATGCAAAGCCAGCCTCAGCAATTTAGTGAGGTCCTAAGCAACTCAGCTAGAACCTATCTCTAAATAAAACATAAAAAAACGGCTGGGGATGAGGCTCAGTGGTTAAGCGCCCATGGGTTTGATTCCTGGTACCCGACCACACACACACACACACACACACAAACAGAGTTTGAGGGCTGATTGTGTATGGTGGCTCACTCCTGTAATCTCAGCTGCTTGAGAAGCTGAAGAAGGAACACCTTAAGGCAAGGCCAGCCTCAGCAATTTAGAGTCCCAGTCTAAAAGTAAAAATAGGCTGGAGATGTATAGCTCAGTTGTAGAGCAACTCTAGGTTCAATTCCCAGTGTCCATCTGCCAAAATTAAAATATATATATATATATGGGCTGGGGATGTGCTCAAGCGGTAGCGCGCTCGCCTGGCATGCGTGTGGCCCGGGTTCAATCCTCAGCACCACATACAAACAAAGATGTTGTGTCCGCCGAAAACTAAAAAAAATAAATATTAAAAAAATTCTCTCTCTCTCTCCCTCTCTCACTCTCTCTTAAAAAAAAAAAAATGGTTTGAGGGCTACAAAGATGCTGTTTCAATAACCTCGCTCCCACCTGACCACCGCCAGCCCACACAATCACAGTCCTTCTGAGTAACCTTTGATGGGTCAGATGGCTCTACTCTGCAGGTTCTCAAGTGGTTCCAAGGGAATTCGTTAGAAATGCAAATTCTCAGGCTTCACCTGGGGCCTCCCAGTTTAGACTGGGGGAGGCCCAGCACTTGCCTTAGGCCATGCCCTCCAAGACTCTGATGCCCTGCAGAGTTTGGGAGCTGTGGCTTTCCTCCCTGAGGGCCATGCCTGCTGTGGTCCTTCCCACCTCTAGTCCCAGGGCCTGGCGTCGGGTGGGCATGCAATCCAGGCTGAGGGCTGTTCACGCTAAGTCAGCGGTAGAGCACTTTAGCAGGATTGAGACCCTGGGTTCAATCCTCAGCACTGCAAGAAATAAAAGTTTTGTGAATGATTAATAACAAAGGTGATGACACTGAGAGCAACGAGCCACGATGGAAGACCTCCTGGAGGCGAAGCTCTCAGCTTTCTGGCAGAATGGGCGCCTTTAAGCAGCCACCCGTGTCCTTTTACAGACAGTAAAGAGAGGCCAGGCGCCTTATCCAGGGTCCTGGCGGGGACTCCCGCGCGTGACCGCGCCGCTGCGCAGGGCCCTCCTCCGAGCCGCGGGAGACCGGGGGCGCGCGCGGCCGTGGCGAAAGTGCGGCTGCGGAAGCGCGGCGAGGCCGCCGGAGGAGGAAGCGCGGCGGGGCGGCGGCGGCGGCGGCGGGGCCTGCGGGGCGGCCGGGGCCATGGGTCGCCTGCACTGCACGCAGGACGCGGTGCCCGAGGCCGTGGGCGGCGACATGCAGCAGCTGAACCAGCTGGGCGCGCAGGTGGGCGCCGCGGGGCGGCGGGGGCGGGGGCGCGGGGCCGGCTGCGGCCAGCTCGGGGCCTTTCAGGGCTGAGCCGAGGGATCTCGGGGCTGCGGGGCGCAGAGGTGCGGCGGGAGACTTCTCGGGCGGCCTGCGACCCCGGGAGTGTGGGGTCCTCGGAGGACGACACAGCGCAGGCGCTGATGAGCTGTCCCTCGGGGAACCGAGGGAGGTCTGGGAGCGCGGGACTACAGCACGCGTTGGGGACGAGGGGTCTGAGCAGCTGGAGGCCCCGGTCTCCAAAATGTCCAAGGCGAGGCCGAGGTGGAGGCCCCGGTCCTGGAGGTGGAACCGGAAAAGCCTTCTTCTCCCTCTTCTGCAGCTGCCAGCAAAGTCTGGACGCCCTGGTGGCATCTGTTCCCCTGCTTATTAGGATGCCCCTTTCAAACCGCCCAGGCAGCCGAGTTAAAGAGGATAAAATGACATTTCTCACCACTCGGTCTCCGACTGGGTTATAGCTTCCCAGGATGTGGGGCCCTTGTCTTTCCTCTCCTTTCCTTTCCAGGGCTTCCTAACACCCGCTTTGGTGGATCAAAATGGCACTTCCTCTGTTTTCATGGTGACCTGGATTGTAAAGCCAAGCATGGTCTAAGCCTGCATTGTCCAGCAGGAGTAAGTTGGAGGGGTTGGGGAGATAGTTCAGTGGTAGGACACTTGCCCAGCCTGTGCAAGGCCTCTAGCTTCAGTCCCCAGCACCACAAAGGAAAAAGAAAGAAAGAAATTGTAAACCACAGATCTAATACTATGTTTTCTAGTGGCCACATATATTTATTAGTGTTATTAATACTGGGGATTGAACCAGGGTCAGGGGTTACCAGGGACCCACATCCACAGTCTGCTAAATTGCTCAGGCTGGCCTCCAATTTAATCCTCCTGCCTCAGTCTCCCAAATGACTGGGATTACAAGAATGCCTCACCACAAACCAGGAAACCCACCCACCCTATTTTTAGATTGGTTATGAGAATAAATTCAGAAAATTATCAAGGAAAAAAGGGGTGGAGTGTGGTAGCACACACCTGTAATCCCAATGATTTGGGAGGCTGAGGCAGAATACCAAATTCAGGGGCAGCCCCAGTAATTTGTCAAGGTCCAACAAAGCAGTTTAGGGAGACCCTGTCTCAAAATTTAAAAAAGTAAATGAATAAATAAAGGGGAAAAAATGGTCCACAGTCACTTTATGTAGGTAGAAATGAAAGCAGTACACACAAAAAATTTGAGCAGTATACAAAGGTATAAGTAAAATGTGTATTTTTCTCATGCCCAGAAATAGTCATTTTAATAAGTTTCTGGTGGGTTTTTTGTTTGGTTCGTTGGTTTTGGCACTTGATAGAGACTGGCCTCCACGGTGCTATCCTCCTGTCTCAGCTTCTCAAATCACTGAAATTACAGTGTGCCTAGCTTAATGATATGGTGTTTGGGGTTTTTTGTTTGTTTGGTGCTGGGAATTGAACTCAGGGGCACTCCAGCCCTATTTTGTATTTTATTTAGAGATAGTCTCACTGAGTTGCCTAGCATCTCCCTTTTGCTGAGGCTGGCTTTGAATTTGTGATCCTCCTACCTCAGATGGGATTGCAGGCCTGCTCCCAGAGCCCAGCTAATGATACAATGTTTTTATTTGAAGCAGTTCTTTTACCATGCACAGGTGAGATCTTAATAAGAAAATAAGGAATACACCTTCCAGAGACAATGCAGGCCACTCCAGAGGGAGAGACAGCCCCCAGGGCTTTTTATTTTTTGAGACAGAGACTAACTAAATTGCTGAGGCTGGCCTCTAACTAGTAATCCTTTTGCCTCAACCTCCTGAGTCACTGAGATTACCACTCTACCTGGCTCTTTATTTATTTAGTTAGTTAGTTGAGGTGAGGCTTTCCTTATGTTGTTCACACTGGCCCCAGGGAGCCTGGTCTGAATTAATTAAATTGTCTTAAGGTTTTTCTCTGAGTATTAATAATATTGGTTTTGTTTGTTTTTTGTGGTGCTGGGGATTGAACCCAGGGCCTTGTGCATGTGAGTCAAGCACTCTACCAGCTGAGCTATATCCCCAGTCCATGGTTGGGTTTTTTGGTTTTTTTTTTTTTATACCAGGGATTGAACTTGGGGCACTCGACCACTGAGCCACATCCCAGCCCTATTTTTTATTTTATTTAGAGACAGGGTCTCACTGAGTTGCTCAGTGCCTCGCCTTTGCTGAGTCTGGCTTAGAACTCATGATCCTCCTGCCTCACAGGCATGCATGCTCCTCCTCACCTGATTTTGTTTTGTTTTTGTACTGGGGGTTGAACCAGGGCTGCTAACCACTGAGTCACATCCTCAGCCATTTTTATTTTTTATTTTCAGATAGGCCTTGCTAAGTTGCTGAGGCTGGCTTTTGAGCTTGTGATCCTCCTTTATGGTCCTCCCAAGTTGCTGGGATCACTGGTGTGTGTCACGGTGCCCAGCTGAACAGTGCTTTGAAGGAGGAGACAGCGTTGTGTTAGCATGTCTGGAACATACCTGAAGCATATGTTCCTTGAAGTGAGATATGATCACTTAAAAATTAGTTACTGCTGGGGCTGGGGTTGTGGCTCAGTGGTAGAATGCTTGCCTTCCATGCATAAGACACTAGGTTCAATCCTCAGCACCAAATAAAAATAAAATAAAGGTATTGTGTCTACTTACAACTAAAGAAAAAAAAGACAGTTATGGCAAGGCATGGTGGTGCATACCTGTAATCCCGATGCTCCTGAGGTTGAGGCAGGAGGATTGCAAGTTTGAGACCATCCTTAGCAATTAAGGGAGGCCCAAAGCAGCTTAGTAAGACCCTGTCTTTTTTTTTTTTTTTTGGTTTTACTTTTTAAATACATGACAGCAGAATGCATCACAATTCCTATATTACACATATAGAACAGTAAGACCCTGACTTAAAATAAAAAAATAAAAATGGCTGGGGATGTGGCTCTGTAGTTACGTGCTCCCCCATTCAGTCACCAGTATCAAAAGAAAAAAAAGAAAAAGAAAAAGATACATACTATAAAATGGCTCTCTAGAAAATTCACCCCAGTGTGTCTTCTCAACAGTGTGTGGACCTGTCTCCTTCCTTGTCCTTTTGCCCACACGGTGTCCTCCTCAAACTTTTGTGTTTGCATATCTGATAAATGAGAAATGGTTATCTCCTTGTTTTGCATTTCTAGGTCTAGAATGAACTTTCTCTTTCCCCTGTTTACTGGCCCTGGATACTAGTTAAGATTTTGATATGCATGGATAGTCCTGGGTGGAACATTCCAGGGAGAGGCAACTATGCAAGAAATCCTTACTGTGCACTTTGCAATATTTACAGTGTTGTGACTAGGCAAAACTATACAAGGAACTTTCTTGCTGCTAAGTTTCTGTTCCTCATTGAGGTTGCAAATTCTAGGTGCCCCAGGCCGCTTCTAAGAGGGAGCCTGAGAAGTTGAGAATCAGAGAAGGTCCCTTTTTCTTTTGTCCACACCCCCCCCCCCCCCCCCGCAGTACTCGGGATTCCACCTGCTACCTTTGGCTTGCTAGGCAAACTCTCCACCATTCAGCTCCATCCTGAGCCCTTTTTACAATTTTATTTTCAGACAGGGGCTGAGTTGCTGAGGCTGGCCTCAAACTTGGAATCCTCCTGCCTTAGCCTCCCTAGTAGCTGGGATTATAGGCATGTGCCACCCCACTCAGCCTGATTGAAACCAGGGGTGATTAACCACTGAGCCACATCCACAGAACTTTCTATTTTTTATTTTGAGACAGGGTCTTGCTAAACTGCTGAGCTTGGCCTCAAACTGACAATTCTCAATTCTCTTCCACATCACTGGGATTACAGATATGTGCCACCATGCCCAGCTGTTTTGCCCATTTTTGATTTAGGTTATTTGTTTTCTTGCTATGGAGTTGTTTGAGTTCCTTATGATTTCTGGTTTGGGGTTTTGTTGTTGTTGTTGTTTGGTACCAGGGATTGAACCCAGGGGTGCTCAACCAGTGAGCCACATCTCCAGCCCTTTTTATGTTTTGAGACAGGATTTCATTAAGTTTCTGAGGCCTTACTAAGTTGCCGAGACTGTCTTGGAACTTGTGATCCTCCTTCCTCAGCTTCTAGAGCACAGGGATTACGTGTGAGCACCTCTGTGCCTGGCTGGATTCTGATTATTAACCCCTTATCAGATGATTTGTTTGCAGGTATTTTCTCCTATTCTCTAGGTTGTCTTGCTTCATCCTGTGGTTTCCTCTTATAGATCCCTTTCTTTCTGGGGGATCATGATATCTTGGTAGGGTTTTGAAAGATAAGGAAGATTTGGGAAAGCAGAACTAGGGATGGAAGTCTGAGCAGGCAACACAGCAGATTAGCAGGAAGCTCCTCTTGGGACCACACTGGAGGATGAGACCCAATGGGGAAAGTAGGATTTAGCCTCAGTATCGGGCTGGGTCTAGAAGTGGAAGAGTGCTTGGCATTCTAATTAGCTGACCCAATTTTCAGAAAGCTCTGAGTGACATAGGATATTCAGCCAAAGAGCTGACAGTTCCACTTTTTTTTTTTTTTTTTAATTAAAAAGATTGTTTTTTTTTTTTTTTTTGGTAACTACATCCCCAGCCCTTTTTGGTTTTTATTTTTTAGTACTATTATTATTTTTAAGATGTTGATGGTTCTTTATTTTATTCATTTATTTATATGGGGTGCTGAGAATTAAACCCAGTGCCTCACACATGCTAGGCAAGCGCTCTACCACTGAGCCACAACCCCAGCCCCCTTGTTTTTTATTTTGAGACAGAGTTTCACTTTTTGCTTAGGGCCTTGCTAAATTGCTAAGGCTGGCCTTGAATTTGCAATCCTCCTGACTCTGGAGCTGCTGGGATTCATATGCCACCATGTCCTGCCAGTTTTACATATTTGCAGGAAAAAAATATTAAAGAAATAAAGGAGGGCTGGGGATGTGGCTCAAGCGGTATCGCGCTTGCCTGGCATGCATGTGGCCCGGGTTCGATCCTCAGCACCACATACAAACAAAGATGTTGTGTCCGCCGATAATTAAAAAATATTAAAAATTCTCTCTCTCTCCCTCTCTCTTTAAAAAAAGAAATAAAGGAGTTGGACATAGGGGCTCACACCTGTAATCCATGCAGTTTGTAATCCCTGCAGCTTGGAACGCTGAGGCAGGAGGATCAAGAGTTCCATGCCAACACTCAGCAACTTAGCAAGAACTTGTCTCAAAAATAAAATGTTTGGGGCTGGGGATGTGGCTCAAGCGGTAGCACGCTCGACTGGCATGCGTGCAGCCCAGGTTCAATCCTCAGCACCACATACAAACAAGGATATTGTGTCTGCCGAAAACTAAAAAAATAAATATTAAAATTCTTTCTTTAAAAAAAAATAAAAATAAAATAAAATGTTTGCTAGGCAAGGTGGCGCACACCTGTAATCCCAGCACTCTCGAGGCTGAGATGGGAGGATCACGAGTTCAAAGCCAGCCTCAGCAATGGCAAAGTGCTAAGCAACTCAATGAGACCCTGTCTCTAAATAAAATACAAAATAGGGCTGAGGGTGTGGGTCAGTGGTTGAGTGCCCCCGGAGTTCAATCCCTGGTATCCCAAAAAATTTAAAAAAATAAAACGGTAAAAGCTCAGGTATAGGTTTGGGGATATAGCTCAGTTGGTAGAGTGCTTGCCTTGTATGCATAAAGCCTCTCAGGGCTGGAGTCCTGCTCTTGTGACCTCATTTAACCTCCATCACCTCATAGTCCCCAATTCCCCCCCCCAAAAAAAAAAATCACACTGGGCGTTAGGGCTTCAACATAAGAATTTGTGGGAAACACAAGTGTTCACCTTAACCAAATAGCACTAGAAAAAAGATTTGCAAGCACAAAACAGCAAGAGACTATTCCAAAACAGCATTATAATAAAGTGTTAGAATTCACTGTTGTTCATTTCTGTATTGGGAGTTGAACCCAGGGGTGCTCTACCACTGAGCCACATCCCCACTCCTTTTTATTTATTTTGAGACAGGGTCTCGCTAAGTTGCTTAAGGCCTCATCAAGTTGCTGAGGCCAGTCCCGAACTTGTGACCCTCCTGCCTCAGCGTCCCGAGTTGCTGGGATTACTGGTACGTGACACTGTACCTGGGAAAATTTACTATTTTGTTATATAAATAAGAAGGTGTTTATTGTGAGCAGTAGTGCTAGGGGTACCCAGAAAATATGGATAGGCAAACAGAAAGTAAAAATTATCCTGTTGGGCACAGTGGCGCATATCTGTAATTCCAGTTGCTCAGTAGGCAGGAGGATGACAAGTTTGAGGCCAACCTTGGCAAGCCTGACCCCAAGTAAAAATTTTTCAAAGGCAACAGCAACTTGGAGAGATGCCTTGGCCAAAGTGCCCCAAACCATGCCTGGTTGCAAAGTGTCTCAGAAGTAGAACACTCCTGGGATCAACCCCCAAATCAGCAAAGATATAGTGTGGAGTAGACCGGAAGAGAGGGAAGCAAAGCAGGGCTGGGCACGTGGCTAAGTCCCATAGCCCCAGCTACGTAGAAGGCTGAGGCAGGAGGATGGCAAGTTCAAGGCCAGCCTCAGCAACTAGCTAGACCCTGTCTCAAAATAAAAAAATATAAATGGCCTGAGATGCAGTTCAGCGGTAAAGTGCCCCAGTACAAAAAAAAAAAAAAAAGAATAGAATATCCAGAGCTGGGTTTACAGGTGTGCAGTAGTGGATACCAGCTCTGGATTCATTCAATTCTCAGCATTGCAAAAAATTAAAAGAAGTATCTTACCACACATAAATGCATTCTCCCCATGGCCCTGGCCATGCTGAAAGTTGAACCCAGGCCTCTACATGTTAGGCAAGTTTGTCACCCTGAACTGTGTTCCCAACCCTTAAGTAACTGCTCTTACTGTTCTGGTGATTTCCCCTTTCAGATCTTTTCTCACTGTGTGTTTGTGTATTTGAACCCCAGAGATCTATGTGTGTCCCTGCACGGGTGCATGCACACAGTTTAGGTCTCTATGTCTCCTGACTATCTCAATAAAACATCTGTGCTTTACCAACAATATGGTGGTGCACTGGGTTCGAGTCTCAGCACCACATATAAATAAAGGTCCATTAACAACTAAAAAGTATTTTGAAAAAATATATATATAGTGGTGCAGATACCTAGATGCTGGTGGTGAGTATTTTGATTGTTTGTAACTTTAAGATGATCAAAGCAGGACTGGGGATATAGCTCAGTTGGTAGAGTGCTTGCCTCAAATGTACAACGCCCTGGGTTCAATTCCCAGCACCACACATAAAAAAAATAATAAAAAATAATCAAATCAGGTCTTTGGCCAGGTGCGGTAGTGCACACCTGTAATCCCAGAGGCTTTTCTGCTGCTGGTCCTTTCCCTGAAGGGGTTGGATGGGATGTGGCACACTGACCCATAGTAAAGATGGCACTGATGTTCTGTGTTGTTCTCTTTACAGCAGTTCTCAGCCCTGACAGAAGTAATTTTCCACTTCCTAATCGAGCCCAAAGAGGTAAGTATTTTGTGATAAGGACAGTTGCGAAGCACAGGTCAGTAGGTCTGAGGAACTTCGAAAGTGAACTCCTGGTCCCTCTTTTCAGGTGGAAAGGTTTCTGGCTCAACTGTCTGAATTTGCCACCACCAATCAGATCAGTCTGGGCCCTCTCAGAAGCATCGTGAAAAGCCTCCTCCTGGTTCCCAATGGTGAGTAGCTCCATTGGCAGTTGTGGCTGGAGATGTTACCCAACATGCTTTTTTGAGGGGTGGGGGTACCAGGGATTGAACTCAGGGGCACTTGACCACTGAGCCACATCCTCAGCCCTATTTTGTATTTTATTTAGAGAGAGGGTCTCACTGAGTTGCTTGGAACCTCACCTTTGCTGAGGCTGGCTTAGAACTCATGATCCTCCTATCTCAGTCTCCCTAGCCCTGTGATTACAGACCTGTGCCACCACCGCGCCCAGCACCTGAGCATTCTTGAGTCCAGAGAGTCATCCAAGTATGCTCATGATCCTCCTGTCTCAGCGTCTCAGCTCCTGGGATTAGAGGTGTACACCACCATACCTGGACCTTTTTATTTTTAATTTTTAAATTTTTTTTAAAACATTTTAAAATATTTATTTATTTATTTATTTGGTGGACACAACATCTTTGTTTGTATGTGGTGCTGAGGATCGAACCCGGGCCGCACACATGCCAGGTGAGCGCGCTATCGCTTGAGCTACATCTCCAGCCCTAATTTTTAAATTTTTAATAATTTTTTTTTTTTGTGTGTGTGTGTGGTGCTGAGGATCAAACCCAGGGCCTTATGCCTACAAGGTAAGCACTCTACCAACTGAGCTATATCCCCAGCCCTTTTTTTAAATTTTATTTTATTTTTTTATTTATTTTTTTTTTTTAAAGAGAGAGAGAGAGAGAGAATTTTAATATTTATTTTTTAGTTTTCGGCGGACACAACATCTTTGTTTGTATGTGGTGCTGAGGATCGAACCTGGGCCGCACGCATGCCAGGCGAGCGCGCTACCGCTTGAGCCACATCCCCAGCCCCTTTTTTTTTTTTTAATTTTGAGGTGGGTGGGTTTCTCTAAATTACCCAGGCTGGTCTTGAACTTGTGATTGTCCTGCCTCAGCCTCCCAAATTACTGGGATTATAGGCTTGTGCCAGCTTGCTCAAGTATACTACAGATGTTTTGAGGAACAGAGTTTGCCTAGAACAATCAGTAAATGTTCCCAGTGGAAGGGAGGAAGTCAGGAACAGGAACGTTCAGCTGTAGGGATGTTCATTGTAGTACTGTTTATGGTGGAGCAAAATTAGAAACCATCAGATTGCCTGGCAGCAAGGGATTGTTTTAACAAGCCGTAGTCATTCTTTATAGGGAAACATGGTGGTCAAAAACATATACTTCTGGGCTGGGGCTAGGGCTGGGGCTGGGACTGGGACTGGGCTCAGTGTAGAGCGCTTACCTAGTGTGTGTGAGGCACTGGGTTGGATTCTAAGCACCACATAAAAATAAATAAAATAAAGGTATTGGTTCATCTACAACTAATTGTATACTTCTGCCAGGCACGGTGGCACATGCCTGTAATCCCAGTGGTTTGGAGGCTGAAACAGGAGGATTGCAAATTTGAAGCCAAAAGTCTCAGCAAGAAGTGAGGAGCTAAGCAACTCAGTGAGACCCTGTCTCTAAATAAAATACAAAAGGGGGCTGGGGATCTGGCTCAGTGGTCAAGTGTCCCTGAGTTCAATCCCTGCTATCAAAAAAAAAAGGTATACTTCTGCCAGGCATGGTGGCCCACGCCTGTAGTTCAGCAGCCTAGGAGGCTGAGGCAGGAGAGTCCAAAGTTCAAAGCCAACCTCAGCAATTTAGCAAGGTCCTAAGCAACTTAGTGAGATCCTGTCTCAAAATAAAAAATAAGGGCTGGGGATGTGGCTCAGTTGGTAAGTGCCCTAGTTCAGTCCCTGCTACAAAAAAAAAATATATATATATATATATATACACACACACACACACACACACACACACACACACACTTCTGAGTCAGCCAGGTGCCTGATCTCTCCACACCCCTAGAAGTGGCCCTCCAGAACAGTGATCTTCCCTCCAACTAAGCAATTTTTTTTTTAAAGAGAGGGAACATGTACAGATTGAGACCATGTAAATAAAATACTTAGCCCTAATAAAAGGTGGGGTTTTTTTCTATTATTCACTAATTTAAAAGATGCTATTGAGGAAAATGTAATAATATGGAAAACTTTCACAATATATGATTTGTTTTTTCCCTGGTACTGGGAATTGAACCCAAAAGCACTTAACCATGAAGCCACATCCCAGCCCTTTCTATTTTTATCTTGAAACACCATCTTACTAAGTTACTTAGGGCCTCACTAAATTGCCAAGACTGGCCTCAAACTTGCAATCCTCCTGCCTCGGTATCAGGAGTCACTGGGATTTCAGGAATGTACCACCATGCCTGGTTTTATTTCCTATTTTGATAGAGCATCTTGTTAAGTTGAAGGTGCTGGACTCAAATTTGTGATCCTCCTGCCGTGGCCTTGGCACACACCTTGCTGGTGTGTGCTAGGAGTACAGGCACACACCAGCAAGCCTGGCCACTGATCATAAAAATAACAGTTTAAGAACGGAAGGTGTATGTAGCTCAGCGGTAGAGTGTGTGCTTAGCATATTTGATTTGAGACACTGGGTTGGATTCCTCAGCATGGGGGCAAAAAACAAAGTTAGCTGTGGCCATATCTAGAAGGTAGGATTCCAAGTTGGTCTAATTGTTTGGTTTTTGGCTATGTATTGTCTACCAGGTTGCTACTGTTAATATGGAAAATTAACTAATAGTTTATTTAAAGACAGATGTGAGGGCTGGGGATGGAGCTTGGTAGTAGAGCACTTACTGGCCTACCATGCACGGGGGTCCTGGTTTCAGTACTGCAAAGGGAGGGAGGGAAGAAGGGGGAGAGAGAGGAGGAAAGAAGGGGAGGGTGTGGAGGGAAGAAGGGGGAGAGAGAAGGGTAACTTTGAGCCTAGTTTTGAAGAGTGAGTAATTTTGACCAGGCTGAGAGGAATTAGGCCAGCATCCTGAGCCAAACACTGGTGCACACCTGCAACCCCAGCTGCTCAGGAGGTGAGGCAGAAGGATTCCAAGTTCAAGGCCAGCCTGGGCAACTAAGTGAGACCCTGTCTCTAATAAATTTTATTTTTAAAAAGGACTGGGAAAGTAGCTTAGTGGTAGAACATCCCTGGGTTCAATCCCCAGGACCAAAAAAAAAAAAAAAAAAGGAAGAAGAAACTGGGGGCTTAATTTGTTTGTCCCTGTGGTGGTACCTTCCCTTCCCTTCCCCCCACTTTTTTTCCTGTACCAGGGATTGAACCCAGGGGTGCTTAACCATGAACCAAGACCCTTTTGAGACAGGGTCTTGCTAAGTCATCTAGGGCTTCACTAAGTTGCTGAGTCTGGCCTTGAACTTGTGATCCTCCTGCCTCAGTCTCCCGAGTCAGTGGGGTGACAGGCCTGCACTACTGCACCAAACTGAAAATCCCTTCTTTGCTTTGTATTATGCTCCTTAGATTCTATGGGGTGAAACCAGAACAGTCTAGAGGTTTCCAATTGCAAAATTTTCTGATCTATTTCTGTGATTCTTGCATTTTTTTGTCCTCTTGGTTGAATGAGAAATTGAAGTTTCTTTTAATACAGGAACACGTTTTTATTACAAACTTTTTAAATAATGCAGAGCTATGGAGGAGTCAAAAGTGAAAATCCCAGGCTGGGGAGGTTCTCAGTGGTTGAGCACTAACAGAGCACCTTGTTCGAGGCCCTGGGTTCAACCCCCTGTACCTAAAAAAATTTTTTTTTAAATAAATGTTTTTAGTTGTAGATAGAGCTTCATTTTACTTATTTTTACGTGGGTCTGAGGTTCAAACTTAGTGCCTCACATGGGCCAGGCAAGCACTCTACCATTGAGCCCCAGCCCCCGCCCCTAAAAAACATTTTAAAGTAGGATGAGCGTAAATGAGGGGTGTATGTGTGTGTGTGTGTCGCTGAAGATCAAACCCAGGCCTTTGCCCATGCTGAACAGGTGCCCAGCACTGAGCCCTGAGCTGCACTCTCAGACCTCAAGCCTTTATTGGTTGACTGACCAACCAGCTTTCGGCCCTGTGTCTCACTGTCAGACTATGACATCAAGTTTCCATCACCTGCTGATGGGGACCTGAACTTGCCTCTTGACTGGTCCAGAGCTTTGCCAGTTCTGGGTGGAGCGCTCTCGGGTTTGATCTGCTGAACCTCTGAGTCCACTGTCAGCTTCTCTTCCTTTTACACTCTGTCCTGCGGGGCCTTCCTGCCTGATCATCTGTTTCTTCTAGAACATCTCTGAAGCATCTGAGATTGTAGCTTGGCCCCTTCTTCTGCCTTGTCCTCTGATGTCTGTCTTTCCAGTCCCAAAGGCGCCATCCCAGGACAAGTTCTCAGCCTTGGGGCTTAGGTAGGGCATTAAGGGTCCCAGCATGGTTCCTGTTGCTGCTCCCAGCTCCTTACCATCTGTAATGGAGTCTTTAGTTTGGCACCCAAGACCTTTTACCGTTTAATCCACAAAGTAAGAGCCTTTGGGTCCCATCCCCTTCTCTTCCGGAACCCTGGTTGTGCTTACCTGGTGAGATGCCATTGCAACAGTGCCGCTTGTCACAGCTGAGGGGCCCTCACAGGGACTCTCCCCCAGTGGGCATGTCATGTCCACCAATACAAGGCTTCAGTGGCCACACAGAGCCAGGACTTCCTTGTTCCCCAGCCCTAGCCTTGAAACCTTGGAGACCCACACACACTGCCACGTCTCAGCCTCCGAAAAGTCCTATAGGGAAGGAGCTGCTGAACCAGTGTCTGTTCACTGGGAACTGTGCAGCCCTCCTTTTTGGGAGGTGGGGACAGAAGGGATCTCAAGTAAAAGCTTTGAAAAGTGCTTTTTTTTTGTTAAGAGACAGGGTCCCACTTAAGTTGCCTAGGCTGGTTTCAAACTCCTGGGCTCAAGTGATCCTCCTGCCTCAGCCTCCTGAGTTACTAGAATTATAGGTGTGCACCACCCACACCTGGCAAGTATGTAATTCATAAGAGGACCCCACTTTCACAGCTGTCCACCCCTGGCCAAATTGTTTCATCTGCACCCACCCCTTTTTTATTGCTCTCCAAACTGAGTTATTTTAAAGTAAATGTCAGTTGTACCATTTTACTGCTAAGTACTATCTCTAAAAGATAACCACAATGTCATTATCATCTGAAAGGAAACTATGCAATCAGTGCTCAGATGTCCCCATTGTCTAGTGCAGTGAGTGTGTGGGTGGTTGGTTGCTCCCATCTGGATCCACATAAGGGCTCCACCTTGCATTTGGTTGCTGGGTGGCCTTCCAGAAAGTTCTGGCTTACTCCCTGTGGCTGCATAAGACCTTGAGCCAAGTGACTGAACCTGTCTAAGAATCAGTTTCATCAAGGATGAAATGGAGCTTGAGGGCACCTCAAGCTGCTTGCTGGAAAGGTGAGAAAGCTAATGAATGTAAAGTGCTGACCAGAATGCACGATGGCTGGCTCTGCTGCTTTAATTATGACTGTCATTATGGTTATGTCATCTTTTAGGACTACAGATAACTTGGCAGTAGAGACTCTATTTAAGCCCGGGTTTTTCTGGTATTTTTGTGTTTTTTAGTACTAGGGATTGAGCTTAGGGGTGCTCTACCACTGAGCTAAGTCCCTAGCCCTGCCTCGCCCTGCATTTTGAGACAGGGTCTCCCTAAGTTTCTCAGGCTGCAATCCTGATTGCATAAGCGTCACATTAGGCTGTCTCAGGAGTTTTCCCCAAGGCCTCCTTAGGTCCAGGGCTGCAGGCCTGCCTTGGCTGGCATTTGCTCAGAACAAAGAATCACCAAAGGAAGAAACTGAAGAAGTTGAGATCCTGAGGCCTCCCAGGAGGCAGATGCATGTTTAAGTCTGGCTCCTGCCTCCTGCCTGCGGGAGACCAGAGTCTGCTGCTGGGCCTGGAGCTCAGTGAGCCTTCCTGTCCTCACTGTGGAGGCACGGCCAGGACAGCCTGTCAGGATGACTGGAGCAGGAAGAATTAGGGTTTGGTGCCACTCTGGCCTGAAAGCCACTTGGCTCTGCCACTGACTGGCTGTTGTGGCCTTGCCCAAAAAGTAACTTTTTTTTTCTTAATAAAAATGTACAACCAGGCGCAGTGGCACGTGCCTGTAATCCCAGTGGCTTGGGAGGCTGAGGCAGGAGGATCATGGGTTCAAAGCCAGCCTCAGCAGCAGTGAGGCACTAAGCCACTCAGTGAGACCCTGTCTCTAAATAAAATACAAAACAGGGCTGGGGATGTGGCTCAGTGGTAGAGAGCCCCTGAGTTCAATCCCTGGTAGCCCCCACCCTGAAAAAAATGCTCACAATTTTACCACTTTCACATTAAAACGACAACAACCTACTTCTACATGATTAGACTTTTCTTTAATGTATTTTTTTTTAGTTGTCAATGAACCTTTATTTATGTATTTTAAAAAATTTTTTGTTGGTGCTTGGTATTGAACCCAGGGCCTTGTGCCTGCTAGGCAAGCACTCTGCCATCTGAGCTATACCCTCGGACCCATTTATTTATTTATCAGATGGACACAAAATTTTTATTTTATTTATTTATTTATGTGGTGCTGAGGATGGAACCTAGTGCCTCACACATGCCAAGCAGCACTCTGCCACAGAGCCACACACAATCCCAGCCCCCATTAGAGAATTTTTAAACAACAGAAAGGAAGAAAATAAAAGGAGCTGGAGGGAGATTTCAGTGGTAGTGTATTTGCAAAAAAAAAGATCTGCTCTGGCCATAAACCAGGGAGCTGTCCCCTTGGTGGTCATGAGTGCGTCTCATGACTGGGAAGTCTCCCCTCTCAAGAGCCTATGGCTGGGGTTTCCTGGGGTCTTGCGTTTTTATTTCCCCGTGGTTTCCTTGCCCAGTCTGATCTTGGAGATAAAAGATTTCCTCTCTTTGTTTATGTGGTGGATTTTTACCGGCACCACAGCCTTTGGGATTGTTTTCCTGGAGCGGGGTGGGGGTGGGCACTTGGACTCAGGGTGTAGGCTCAGGGCCCTGCCTTAGCCCTGGGTGTCTTTTTATCCTTTATTTAATTATTTTTTGGTGATTGAGAAGTGGATAGTCACAGAGCTCTTGTCCGGTTGTGACTCTAGGCTGCCCTCTGAAGTTGAAACCTTGAGAAGCCCAGACTGCTGGCCACAGTCTGTCTTCAGGAATTACAGCTGAAAAAGCAACCCCTGGAGGGGTGTTCTAGGGCTTCTGGAGGGAAGCTGAGACAGCCCCCTGCAAGTCACTTGTGAGCTGTAGAGGCCAGATGGCACTGTCTAGTAGAATTGTCTCTTTTATTAGTTATTTTTTAAAAATTTGAGACATTGTATCTAATTAAAACAAATTTTTAAAAAAATTGAGACAAGTGTCTTGCTAAGTTTCCCAGCCTGGACTCAAAGTTGTGATCCTTCTGCCTCAGCCTCCCCAAGTAGCTGGAATTACAGGCATGTGTATCCCATGGAGCTCCAGTACAACCCAGAGATGCTTTCCCACGGAGCCATCACCCACTCTGGCTATTTCTTATGTTGAGACAGGGTCTCACTAACTTGCTTAGGGCCTCACTGAGTTGCTGAGGCTGGCCTCAGGCTGCCAAATCACTGGCCTCCCATAGAACTTTCTAGGCAAATGGGAATGGCCTATAATCTGCACTGTCCAGTGCAGCGGTCTCTGACCCTGTGTAGCTACTGAGCATTTGAAACAGCGCAACAGTAGGCTTTTAAATTTTACTTAAAATGGTAGTGACAGCCAGGCACTGTGGTACACATTTTGTAATCCCAGAGACTCAGCAGAGGCTTAGACAGGAGGATGGCAAGTTTGAGGCCAGCCTCAGCAACTAAGACCCTGTGTTTAAATAAATAAAAATAAATCAATGTAAGTGACCAGAATGACCATAAATATAGGTAGATATTTCAAGTTTTGTCTCCAGCTTCTCCCACCCTCCCTGGAGGGCCGCTCGGTACTTGTACAGTGACCAGCATTGTTTCTGAAGTGTGTCTCCCCTCCCCCTGCTGGGTTGCAATCTTCCTGGTGCATAAGCCTTTTGTCCTCTGCATCCCCCAGGTTATGCCGGTCAAATACTTGTTGCAGCAGATTCATTCTCGCCCTGTCTCCCCTGTCTCCCCTGCCTCACAGGTGCCTTGAAGAGGAGTCTCACAGCTGAGCAGGTCCGGGCGGATTTCGTAACTCTGGGTAGGTCACGCCCAGGGCTGCTGGGGGAGGGCCTCTGGGCTGTTTATTATGCTGATGAGCCCCCTTTCTCTTGCAGGCCTCAGTGAGGAGAAAGCCACTTACTTTTCTGAAAAGGTATAATTCTTGTCATCAAGGTTAAGATGGGTTGCTTTTATTTCAGTGAAAAGGAAAGAAAGGGGAAGTGCTGATGGGTGGGACCCTCAAGGCCTCATTTCTTTGGGTGCCACACCAACCAGTGACACAGGGCTTCTGATCCGCCTTGTTTAGTACATGTCATGCATGTCACATTTTTTCTTCTCTAATTTGATGGAATATAAAGTTTTTTGTTTGGTCGTGTTTTTTTTTGTTTGTTTGTTTTTTTGTTTTGTGGTGCTGGGGATTGAACCCAGGGCTTTGTGCATGGGAGGCAAGCACTCTACCAACTGAGCTATACCCCCAGCCCTGTTTTTTTGTTGTTGTTGTTGTTGTTTTTGTTTTTTTGGTACAGGGATTGAACTCGGGGTCACTCAATCCTTGAGCCCCATCCCCAGCCCTATTTTGTATTTGTTTGGAGACAGGGTCTCACTGAGTTGCTTAGGGCCTCCCTTTGGCTGAGGCTGGCTCTGAACTCACAGTCCTCCTGCTTCAGCGTCCTGAGCTTCTGGGTTTAATAAATATAGTTTTGGGGTCAACATGGGTTAAGTCTTGGAAGGGAAGAAAACAATCACCTCGGCTTCGCTGCTCCATACCTCTTGTACCCCCCATTTGTGTGAGTGGGGAGGAGCCCCTGGGTCTGTCTTCTCCCCACTCCCTGTAAATACTGAACTGCTGTTTGGGGTGGCATGGAGAGGGGGTGCGTTTTTCCCATGTTGTGACTCTGGCCTTTTGCTCTCCTCACAGTGGAAACAGAACGCCCCCACCCTTGCTCAGTGGGCCCTGGGGCAGACCCTGATGATTAACCAGCTTATTGACATGGAGTGGAAGTTTGGAGGTAACTGGTCAGAGCCAACTCCAGGATCCCAAGGGTTTGGGAGTCTTAGTCTCAAACACCATGGGGCCAGCAGCTTGCACTCACGTGGCTCCTGCTGACAACCTGTAAAATTGGGGTTTTCTGGGAAATCCTTCATCAGTCACTTCTTCATTTATTTTTCTCTTTTGTATCACAGTGACATCTGGAAGCAGTGAATTAGAAAAAGTGGGCAGTATTTTTTTACAAGTAAGTCTTCTTTTTATCTTTGAAAATGAGAAAAAAGGGCTAAGGTTGTGGCTCAGCCTTAGAGCACTCGCCTCTCATGTGCGAGGTCCTGGGTTCGATCCTCTGCACCACATAAAAATAAATAAATAAAGATATTGTGTCCAACTACAACTTAAAAAAAAAGAAAATGGGTAAAAAAAATTTATTGGTTAAAAAAACTATTAAGCCAGGAAATCCCAGGTATTCCATCCAGGGCAGGAGGATTGCAAATTCAAGGCTAGCCTCAGCAATTTAGTGAGACCTAATCTCAAAGTTAAGGAAAAAATAATAACTGGGGGCTTAGCACAGGGGTGAATTGACCCTGGGTTCTATACCCTATACCAAAAAAAAAGAAAAGAAAAAGAAGAAACTGGACTGGGGATATAGCTCAGTTGGTAGAGTGCTTGCCTTTCCTCACATGCACAAGGCCCTGGATTCAGTCCCCAAAGAAACTATGTTGGAGGGCTAGGAGTGTGGCTCAGTGGTAGAGCACTTGCCTAGCATGTGTGAGGCCTTGGGTTCAATGTTAAATGACTGTGTAAATACTTATTCCACTGAATTTAAATCAGAGCAGTGTGATCCAAGGGCATGGTCACTGACTTGCCTACTTCTAGATTCACAGATCCTAGCCCAGTGCAGTGGCACACTCCTGTGATCCCAGCAACTCGGGAGGCTGAGGCAGGAGGATCACAAGTTGAAGGCCAGCCTCAGCAACTTAATGAGACCCTAAGCAACTGAGTAAGACCCTATCTCAAAACAAAAAGGTCTGGCGATGTAGTTCATTTATAAAGTACCCCGGGTTCAATCCCCAGTATCAAAAAAAATTAAACAGATCTTAATTTTATTCCTGAAAGTTTGGTTTTTCCTGTGATCATGGGAAGTGTCAGAGCTCCTATGGGGGGTGATGGGGACCACTTCTGTGCATCCCTGTGATGATGGGCTGGGGCTCGGGAGCAGAGCCCTGGAGTGCTTTGACATTAAATTTGGATTAAAGGGTTTTGGAGAATTTCTTTGCCCAGTTGTCATCCTCTTAATTTACGTTTTTTTTTTTTTTTTTTTAGTTAAAGTTGGTGGTTAAAAAAGGAAATCAAACTGAAAATGTGTACCTAGGTGAGTCTGGATCCCTGTTGAGCCTTTCCCAGGTTCTCTTCTGTTGCTTAGGCTGGTGAGACCCACCACCAGCATGTCTCCAGGGAGAGAGTCTCCACCAGGCTGTGCAGGAGCCACCCCTGACCTTCCCCCTCAGGAAACCTGGTGCCAGAGCTTTGCTAAGCCACCAGCCTGTTGAAGACCCTGGCCTTGAAGCCCCTTTGTGAACAGGGAACTGTGGGGGCTGGGAGGCTCCAAGCATGATGAAGACCAGAGGCTCTGGCTGAGCCTCCCCACAGGCTTTCCTGACTCTGTGCTGTGGAGTGGTGCCATTTCTCACACTTCCCCATTTTTCTTAGGGAGCCAAGAACCTTCTGTGTTCAGGACTCTGTCCTTTACTGTGACCAATTTCCCATCTAGAGCTACTCAGATGTGCTAAGCCAAAAGAGAAAACAATCTGTGGTTGAGGATGTGGCTGAATGGTAGAGTGCTGCCTAGCATGCACTGGCCCTGGGATGGTTCCCCGAACTCAGCACACAAAAACAAGAACAGAACAAAAACAAAAAAATCCCTGACTGGGCGTCTTGGCCCACACCTGTAATCCCAGCAACCCAGGAGGTTGAGGCAGCAGGATCACAAATTCAAAGCCAGCCTCAGCAGCTTCAACTTAGCGAGGCCCTAAAGAATTTGGGGAGACCCTGTCTTAAAATAAAATATAAAAAAAGGCTGGGAATGTGGCTCAGTGGTAAGCGCCCCTGGGTTCAATCCCTGGTACAGGGAAAAAAAAAAAAAACTCTGGGTTGTGTGGTTCTATAGAGTTGGAAACATTTACCTCAAACTGGATTTTTTTTTCTCCCCAGAATTAACCCTGCCCCAGTTCTACAGCTTCCTGCACGAGATGGAGCGAGCCAGGACCAGCATGGAGTGTTTGAGCTGATTTCTGTCTGCCTTCCCTTCCCTGGTGACTGCTTTCAAGGCACCTTCCTCTGGCCCTGGGCTCTCCAGGTGGCCCTGCTGGCTCTTGGGAGTGCAGGTGCACAAAGGCTTCTGAAAAACAATGGGATTAAGTACTTACAGAGCCCAGCCCTGAGAGTCGCCCAGAACAGCACCACCACCCATCTCCAGACAAGTTTTAGATACCAACAGGCTACTGACTACACCTCAGATTTGGGTGGGGGGCGGGGAGGCCTCATCTCCCCACCAAAGTTCCACAGTAAAGAAATGGTACCTGGGGGCCAGGGTTGTGGCTCAAGTGATACAGCACTTGCCTAGCACACATGAGGCACTGGGTTTGATCCTCAGCATCACATAAAAATAATATAGATATTGTGTCCACCTAAAACTAAAAAATAAAATATTTTAAAAATTGAAAAAAAGAAACGGTATCTGGGCTAAATAAAGACATGAAAAAAAAAAAAAAGAAATGATGCCATAACTTGAAATAAACACTCAACAGCAACCCAAGAGGCTGAGGCAGGAGGATCACAAGTTTAAGGCCAAACTCAGCAACTTAGTAAGACCCTATCTCAAAAAAAATTAAAAGCAGGGGGCTGGGGTTGTGGCTCAGTGGTAGAGCTCTTGCCTAGCATGTGTGAGGCACTGGGTTTGATTCTGCGCCACATATAAATAAATAAATAAAAGATCCATTGACAACTAAACTATTTTAAAAATAAAATGGGCTAGGGATGTAATTCAGTGGTAAAGCACCCCTGGCACCCCTGGGTTTAATCCCCCATACTTAAAAAAAAAAGGCAACATGCTAATTACCCTCCCCCCACCCAAAGCAGAAGCAGATTGCACAGGTGACTGACAGAGAGGGCTCTGTATGTCTTTGTTTATTTGGGATCTAGCTGACCACCTGTGTTGGTTAGATGATAAATAATACAGGTTCTGAAGAAAAGGTCTAAGTCCTATTTTTTTAAAGAATTTTTTTATATACATGTATTTTGTTTATTTTTATATGGTGCTGAGGATCAAACCCAGGGCCTCGCACGTGCTACCTAAGTTGGACTGCTTAGGTTCCTACACTGGCCCTTCTGCCTGAGCACTCTATCTCTGAGCCCCAGCCCTAAATCCAGTTTTCTTTGTGCATGGATTAAAAACTCATCTGCTTTGCAGAGAGCTAAGGCCTTCCCTAGCCAGGCAGAGTGGTTTATGCCTATGATCCCAGCCACTCCCGAGGCTGAGGCAGGAGGATGGCACGTTTGAAGGCAGCTTCCACAATGAAGCAAGGCCCTAAGCAGCTTAGTGAGACCTGTCTCAAAAACAAGGGGGCTGGGGCTGGGGCTCAGTGGCAGAGTACTTGCCTAGCATGTGTGAGGCACTGGGTCTGATCCCCAGCATCACATAAAAAATCTAAACAAAATAAATGTATTGTGTCCATCTACAACTAAAAAATAAAGAAAATAATAAAAAGGGCTAAGGACGTGGCTTGATGGTCAAACACCCCTGGGTTTAATCCCTGGGTGCCTAAAAATGGAGATCCTGAGAACTTGGGGGGACCTCAGCACATCCAGTGCTGCCGGTCTCTCAGGACACTGCAGCACTTGCTCTCAGCTGGCCACTGGACAGATTCTGGCCAGCAGCTCTTTGCCCTGCCCAGGTCAGATGGGTCACCACAGTGGCTTCCAGATGACCCCACCTGTCTTCAGCCTCAGCTTCTTCCACAGCCCTGCCCACTTCCTGCTGGTCTTATGTGAGCCCACAAATCCAGCTGCTCAGACTCAGCATGGCGTCCAGGATGAAGCCCAACCCCCAACAGTGTGGCCCTGCCCACCTCTTCCAACACTCCATCTCCACTGTCCCCTAGCGGGTCCCTGTACTGGATCTCAAGCCATGGGCTCTCTCCTCTTGTCCCCTTGGACCTACAGTGCTTCCACACACTTCAGAGGGTCTCACAGGACCTCTTGGGCCTTCATCCATCTGCTGCAGGGGCCAGGAGTGCAGCTCTGGAGTTGGACTGCTTAGGTTCCGGTACTGGCCCTTCTGCTGATTAACCTTGTGACCTCTGGCAACTCCTTCACCTCAAAACCACAGCTCCACCAGACGCCCTGTGGACACACTTGAAATCTAGATATTTAGAGCTGAGGCAGTAATACAAATTCAGACCAGCCACAGCAACTAAGCAAGACCCTGTCTCAAAAAAAAATAAGCCAGGCACGGTGGCACATGCCTAAAATCCTAGGGACCCAGGAGGCTGAGATAGGAGGATTGCGAGTTCAAAGCCAGCCTCAGCAATTTAGCAAGGGCTTAAGCACCTCAGTGAGACCCTGTCTCTAAATAAAGTACAAAATAGGACTGGGGATGCGACTCAGTGGTCAAGTGCCCCTGAGTTCAATCCTTAGTACCCAAAAATAGTAAGAAGGGCTGGGGATATAGCTCTGTGGTAAAGCACCCCTGGGTTCAATCCCCAGTACAGGTAGGAGGGGACTGTCCTAAAATGGGTGCAGTTCTCAACTGAGTTACCAAGTAGATCACTCTGCACCTCCTCCGCTAAGCTGGGAGCTACTCCTTTTCGATTTATTGTAATTTTTTATTTCCAGGGTTCTTTTCCTATGAGTGATTTTGTGTTTGTTTTACGGAAGTACTAGGGACTGAGCCCAGCGTACTCTACCACTGAGCCTCATTGCCCCTCCTTCTTATTTTTTATTTTAATACAGGATCCCACTAAGTTGCTTAGGACCCGGCTAAATTGCTGAGGCTGGCTTTGAACCCAGGATTCTCCTGGCTCAGCCTCCCAGCTCAGCTCTTTTTATTTTGAGGCCTGAACTCGCTGTGTTGCTGAAGCTGCCCTCCATTTGTGATCCTCCTCCTCAGCCTCTGCAGTTGCTGGTTTACAGGCCTGATCCACTATGTCCAGTGTAGCCTTCAGGCTTCTTGATAAGAAACTTGTTTTTCAGCTTGGTGAACCCTCTGCTGAGCATCTGCACCTCCACTCCTCCTCCCACCCGCACGTGTTCTTTGTTGAGATGAAATGAGGTTGGGCATAGATCCTCCATGCTAGGACCTCACAAACCTGCCTCGCTTTATAAGAATGAATCTGGGAAGGGCTGGGTTTGTGGCTTGGGGTTGTGGCTCGGTGGCAGAGCGCTTACCTGGCACGTGTGAGGCTCTGGGTTAGATCCTCAGCACCACATGTAAATAAATGAAAAAAATAGAAGTATAAAAGTATTATGTTCATCCACATCTAAAAATAAAAATTAAAAAAAGAATAAATCGGGCTGGGGATGTGGCTCAAGCGGTAGCGCGCTCGCCTGGCATGCGTGCAGCCCGGGTTCGATCCTCAGCACCACATACAAACAAAGATGTTGTGTCCGCCGAAAACTACAATGAATAAATAAATATTAAAAAAAATTCTCTCTCTCTCTCTCTAAAAAAAAAAGGAACTCTCTGTACCCTCCTTTCCTTCTCTACAAAATGGGGATAACAACTCAAAAAAAAAAAAAAAGAATGAATCTGGGAAAATTGTTCTGATTGTTGGTCAGGGTTTGTTTGTTTTGTGTGTGTGTACCAGGGATTGAATCCAGGGGCACTTAACCACTGAGCCACATCCCCAGCATATATATATAATTTTATTTATTTATTTATTTTTGAGACAGGGTATTGCTAAGTTGCTGAGTCTGGCTTTTAACTCATGATCCTCTTGCCTCAGCCTCCCAAGTTGCTGGGATTACAGGCAAGTGGCATTGGGCCCGGCTGTTGGTCAGTTTTAACATAGAGCAGAGATGGAACTGAAGGGTGAGGTGGCCAGGCTGGGTACCATCTTCCATGAGCCGGCCAAGCCTTTGCTGCCTGATCCCACAGTCCTTGTTGGAGCTCCTGGGGCCCTGAGGAGGTAAAGATAAACCCTGGACACAGATAACAACAGTCTGTTTTCTATTCAAGTGCTCACTTCCTTTTGGATAGTGAGAGCCATTATGGACTCCTTAAACTCCTCCAGTCCCTTTGGGGTATTGGAATTTTGTCAGGAACATCATCTATTGGAGAAGGAGCACTGACCAGGAGCTGCAGGGGATTTCCTGCTGGGGATTCCAGCAGGATCCTCTGATGCAGGCACTTCATCGTCCTATTGATTCACTTGTTCCTGTCCTAGGCTTTAGTCTTTGGTTACAGTTCATTCTTTTTCTTTTTTGGTGCCAGGGATTGAACCCAGGGGCCCTTGTAACCACAGAGCCACATCCCAGCACTTCGAGCCTCACTAAATTGTTGAGGCTGGCTTTTTTTTTTTTTTTTTTTTTGAGAGAGAGAGAGGAGAGAGAGAATTTCAATATTTATTTTTCGGTTTTTCGGTGGACACAACATCTTTGTTTGTATTTGGTGCTGAGGATCGAACCCAGGCCGCACGCATGCCAGGCAAGCGGGCTACTGCTTGAGCCATATCCCCAGCCCGAGGCTAGCTTTCAACCTGCAGTCCTCCTGCTTCAGCCTCCCAAATTGCTGGGATTACAGGTGTGTGCCACCACACCCAGTCCTTTTCTTTTTGAGTTTTCTGGTTTTTGTTAAGATGATCTAGCCCCAGGGATGCACGCCTGTAATCCCAGCAATTTGGGAAGCCCGGAAGGGAGGATTGCAAGTTTGAGGTCAACCTCAACAAATTAGCTGAGGCTCTGTCTCATATAAAGTCCTGGGGGTGTATCTCAGTAGCAAAGCACCCTTGGGTTCAATCCCCAGAACCAAACCAAACCAAAGATGGTAAGGTTTTTTCCTGGGAAGCTGAGGCTGGAGGATCCAGAGGTCAAGCCCAGCTTGGGAAAAATAGCAAGACCTTGTCTTAAGAGAAAAATAAATAAATAAGTGATCAGACCAAGAGAAGATGAAACAGAAATGCCTGTCTTATTTCCCAGGAGGAAGGACTGTCCCTGCTGAAGTAGGGAGGCCCTGGAGGAGTGTAGTGGGGAGGGAGTGCTCATTATTCAGTTCTGACCTTGTGGTTTCTTCTTATGGTGATATTTTTTTTAAATATTTATTTTTTTAGGTGTAGATGGACACAATACAATGCCTTTATTTTTATGTGGTGCTGAGAATTGAACCCGGGTCCTGCTTGTGCTAGGTGAGCTCTACCCTGAGCCAAATCCCAGCCCCTATAGTGATAATGTTTTTAAAAAAAAAACAAACAAAAACCTGGGCCTGGTGGCACATACCTGTACTCCCAGGGGCTCCAGAGGCTGAGACAGGAGGATCAATAGTTCAAAGCCAGCCTCAGCAATTTATGGAAACCCTATCTCAAAATAATA